TCGTATGCACAATTGTCACGAGTCGCAAACTCATTGCCGGTAAAATAATTTTGTAATATCGTTCGCACAAGAGAAGACCGTGATGCGTGATAAATTTACAAGATTCACGAAACGTGAATCTGAATACTTGTAAGAAAATTGCGATTTTTTTATCTACAATTTATTACGCAGGTCGTCTGTATAATATCTAGCATCATCGAGAGATATAACGATCCCTCGACATTGTTGTTACACGAAATTAATCCGCGATTATTAATTAATCTCGTGGGGTTTGCTTAATCACGTTGAAATTGATACGGGCCGAATGTAGATAACGTGTGATACACGATTTGTGCATGTGTCACAACGATTTCAGCGATTTCAGCGTTGTTGACAGAACAACTAATTTCCGTTTCTCTCGCAACGCAACATCCCCGATTCTGCGTGCACTTGTCATCCCTGTCGCGGTGACAGCCGATGTGGTAACTTGCCGCAGATGAAAAGGGCCGTTAATTAATGTCCGCGCGAGCGATGTGCGACGCTCGTAAAAGCGCCGGTGGAATCAGGCGCGAAAATAATTATCTGCGAACTCACGTCATAAATTCGCGGGTTTAATTTTCCGAGGGTAATGTTGTTCTTTCATCGACCGGCATACGCGGCGCGTGTATTTCGGGCCGTGTCTCTCCATCTTGGTTCTTCCCCAGCTTTATGCAAGTATTTTAACATTGATATATCGGATATTGATAAAAAGGGGCTCACGTATTACTACGCATTATCATGCGCGCGCTATAAATACGGAAATATAGTTTTTAAGCGAAGCGCCGTCTGTGCATTATTTGACATTTTTTATTCCTCTCCACTCTCCACGACGATGGAGATGTTTATTAATAGCTTAAATAAATTTGTAAATTCTTGCGCTGATTCTAATTTAATGCGTCTACAATATTTCTTACAATTGTATGCAAATGCACGAACTATCTAGACATAAATCGAGACATATATCTTTATTCATAGCAAAAAAATCAGAATCGTAGCGGAAATTCAAATTGCCACCATTTTACGTTTATTTAATTATTATTGAAAGATTATTAATAATAAATTATTATTATTAATCATCGATTGATTGCGAGTGAATTTTCTCTCCGTTCCATTGTTTTGACATCACCGATTTTAACATTATTTACATCGAGGGATTTTATCTTTTGCGCATGGAGTGCAATTACATGTTTCGGATCCGATGCGTTGGCGTTCGTTTTTTTTTTTTTTTAATTCGTGGATGGTTTTGATTTTTTCGATATTTAGCAGCTTCAACAGATAAAAACACGGGGGACACGTCGCGTGTATCTCGGTCATCTAAAGAATTTATATTTTTATATTTGCAATTTTGCGCATGCTCGAGTTGCTGGTCTTCCGCTTCATTTCTGATGACTCTCCAACAACAAACACAGCAACAACTACCTGACAACGGTGATCCTCTTGTAATCCCAGCTGCGCTCGATGCAGAAGGCAGCGGTGACACGGTGTCGCTAGAAATAACAATATCGGATTTTGTACATGTGTACGTGTATATTACCCTATAGTCGTCATAGCATCTTCTGATCTAAATAATATTTCGAGTTATGCCCGCTTTGGAATGCGCCTCGCCTGCTGGAATCGGCCAATTTAAACTTGTTTTCCGCGTACCACGCTTAAATATTATTCTTCCGTTTAAAATAATTACGACGTCTCTTGCAGCTTTGTCTTCGGCAGCTTTGTCACCCGCGTAGACGTTGTTTAAATCGCATTATGATATTTCAAAGCAGATGAATACTTCCACGTAGTATATTTAACATTGCGAGAAAAAAATGAGATTTCTTCAAAACGGTGGTTAAAAAAAAAAACAAGAAAAAAC